AGGCGCTAGCAGAGCCATCTATCTGCAGACATTTCACGAAAAACATAGAAAGTGGGCACAGCATTTTCCCTATTTTTTGTTCATTTTCCCCGGCGGCATTGGGTTAATATTCAATAACTAGCTTTTTTACATTAATTTAATATATTAGTATTTGGGGAATCTCCTCCGATGGTCTTTGGAAACCTCTGCAGAATCCTAGTTAGGAATTGCTGCCGCTGATGATCACATTTCCATCATATTTTTGGTCTTTTTTTCAGCCCATTCCTAAACTTTGTCTTTGATTCCTGATATTATTTTCTAGATTGTTGATGAATGGTTAGGGCTGCTGCGTCGCCGACACCGCGAGGACCCAGGTTGCACCGTGGCCGTTCACTGTGTTGCAGGGCTGGGTCGTGCTCCCGTGCTGGTAGCTATTGCACTCATAGAGCTTGGCCAGCGCTATGAAGATGCTGTGGGAACTCATTAGGCAGTACGTATATATGCTAAAATAAAAGTAATAATAATAATATAATAATAATAATGATAATTGATTAGGTTTGTTTTTAGATATTAAATGGCAAGGGAAGATATTCCATCTTTGAAAGAATATTATGCATTTGATATTTTGCAGTCATCCATTTCTTAACAAAAAGTAAGATAAAATTGGAGTTTTCAATAAGCCTTTGAGGGCTGCGTCTCTGTAAACATTGAGTGAATAGGTTGAAATTTGTTCACCATGGCTTATGCATAAATGTGTTTTTAATTTGTAAGGCTGTACTTTTTATTAGGAGTATTTAACCCAATGCCGCCGGGTATGACGTGTACGTACGTGCTATGCCCACCGTGAGTACTTGTTTGATTGTTTTTACGCATAGATGGCAACACTTGTACTAAATCACCAGTGAGCAAACTACGAGTACTGCCCGTCTTGCCCGTTCACCCTTTTCTTTGATTTACAAAATATTTTATGTTATCTTATTTTGCTGTTACTAATGTTAAAAAACATTATAAAAAATATAATGTTTATGATCAAAATAACACCATCGATTTTAATAGCACTAGTGAAAAATACGTTTTTCCCGCCATTTCATGTCAGGCAGTAGCAGAGCCATCTATCTGCAGACATTTCACGCAAAAACATAGAAAGTGGGCACAGCATTTTCCCTATTTTTTGTTCATTTTCCCCGGCGGCATTGGGTTAATGTTCAGTAACTAGCTTTTTTATATTAATTTAATATATTAGTATTTGGGGAATCTCCTCCGATGGTCTTTGGAAACCTCTGCAGAATCCTAGTTAGGAATTGCTGCCACTGATGATCACATTTCCATCATGTTTTTGGTCTTTTTTTCAGCCCATTCCTAAACTTTGTCTTTGATTCCTGATATTATTTTCTAGATTGTTGATGAATGGTTAGGGCTGCTGCGTCGCCGACACCGCGAGGACCCAGGTTGCACCGTGGCCGTTCACTGTGTTGCAGGGCTGGGTCGTGCTCCCGTGCTGGTAGCTATTGCACTCATAGAGCTTGGCCAGCGCTATGAAGATGCTGTGGAACTCATTAGGCAGTACGTATATATGCTAAAATAAAAGTAATAATAATAATAATAATAATAATAATGATAATTGATTAGGTTTGTTTTTAGATATTAAATGGCAAGGAAGATATTCCATCTTTGAAAGAATATTATGCATTTGATATTTTGCAGTCATCCATTTCTTAACAAAAAGTAAGATAAAATTGGAGTTTTCAATAAGCCTTTGAGGGCTGCGTCTCTGTAAGAGGATGTATAGCATGAGACTCCCACATTGTTTAGTTTACTTTCAATATTGTGGAAACCACTCAAAGCAACAAGACACCCTTGACATTAGATTGAAACAAGTCAACTATTGCTCACTATTACCTTGTGTTACCTTTGTGATTTCAATATGTTCAAATAAGTGCTTTTCTCTTGGCATTTCTGTTAACCCATTCGCCACACGTGGCAAGAATCGATGCCATACCCACTTTGAGACATGTTTATTTATTGTATTTACACATAGATGGCTCCACAAGTTCTTAATCACCAAACAGCCAGTTATCAAGAACTACCTATTTCACCTGTTTACCCTTTTCCTTCACTTTAGGAAAAGTTTTTTTGTATCATTTCATTGTCTAAGATATTCTAATGACAATTTAATAATCATAACATCAATAACAATAATAACAGTATTGATAGCAATGGTATTATTTTTCCCGCCAATTCAATGAATGGGAGAATCAGGGTCGGTAACTAGGGCCTACTGATAGACTCCTTGCCGGCTGAGTACATGTGGAGCCATCTGTAGGTAACAAAATTCATCAAAAACTACAGAGGACAGAACATAATTCCGTGGCGAATGGGTTAATGTTGACACACTATTGAAGATTTTCTATTTCAGACAGCTAACTTGTTCTGTTGTCTTGCAGAAAGAGGCGAGGAGCCATCAATGCCAAGCAACTGGCCTATCTGGAGAAGTACCGTCCCAAGTCTCGACTTAGGCTAAAGAATGGCCACAAGACTGGTGCGTGCTGTGTGCAGTAAAGAGAAATGTAAGGAGAGAAAAAAGAAAAATGTTGTTGATAGCCTCAATTACCAAATCTCCCCTTTCTTGTCAATTCCCATGTTGATTGATTTACATCCAAAGGCTTATTATGTCTTCTTAACATGTAGTGACTGTAAGATGTCCCGTATTAGAATACTGTTCAGCTTCAGTCACGCCAAGCAAAATTTGTAGAATTGACAAGTTGGAGCCCATATATATTATAAAAGGAGGCTAGTTTTTTTTTTTTTTTTTTTTTGAAGACATGGATTAAAAAAAAAAGAAAAGGAAAAAAAAAATCAAATTATGAACCTTAAGACTGGTATTATATTCATGATAGATGTTTTTTTTAGTCACGTATTCCAGATGGCAACAACTACTTGGCCTTTCTTTTCATTTTTATTATTTTTTATTCTCACTCTCTCCCTTTTCATTGTTTTTTTTTTTTTTTTTTTTTTTTTTTTCCTCGTCATGAACCACAGTGCACAGATTAATAAATTGCCTACTTATGATGTGTAGTTGATGTAGGAAAAGGCTTTTGGCACTGTTACTGTGACGATGTGTGGATAATGTTGCTGCTTGCATATGAGGCCATAGGTTGGTTTTGAGGAGAGTGATGCTGAAGCTAGTGATGAACAAGGCTTGTTGTCCTGTCAGAGATTTTAAGCCCTGCCTGTGGATGTCATACGTTAGCAGCACAATTTTCTTAAAGAGTCTCCATAATTGGTTAAGTTTTTCTGTAGTATGTAAAAGAAATACCATATTTATGACAGTCATGATTTGAGCAGTTTTTTTTCTTTTTTTCTACTTGTTTCTTTTCCAGTAGCGTGATACAACAGATTTTAAACAGCAGAGTATTGGGGGGAAAAGACTTTTAAAGATAAAAAAAGAAAAGAAATGTTAGGTCATGGCATTGCTAACCAGACCAGGCTGTTTACGGTCAAACTAATGTGCCTTGACAAGCATGGCAGTTAGCACATATCATGCCACGATCATTTCCCATTCCCACTGCAGCAGTTGTAGTGCTACCAGTTATATATCCTTGCATAATTGAAATCCATTTTCAGCATTAAAATACTCTCACACACACAGAAAAAGTGAAAATCAATTCTTGTTAAAAGGAAGTGGTCTGGGCAGATTTAAAAATAAAATTAAAGAGGAAAAGATTATCTATGCATTGCAGGCAAGCCTTCCTATATAACCGGCTTTAGAAGGACTTAATGGACTGACTGGTAACACATGGTTTTCAATTGCCAAACGGACTTAAAAATTTATTTGCATATAAATAACTGGCATGTGTATAATTTTTTAACCCACACTTATTTTCTGTACACATAATTGTCAGTCAGCTGTAGTATGCCATATTAGATAAGTTTAATAATAATGATAATGATAATAATAAAAGAATTTTACATCAAAATTTGGAACTTAATTGAGGCACTTTTTTACCTGGTAAATGGAAACGTCTCCATCAATTTGTGGTCAGTCTTTTGAACAGAAAGGTGGCCAGGCACCATAGCACTAACTGTCGAATGGACTAAGGACGGTGAAAGCATGCAAGAATATTACAATTTAACCCTTAATGTGAACGGTTACACCACTATCCTGCCTCAACCTTCATTTAAAGCATCCTAGCAGCTGAGACTGTTGGTTACAGATGTGAACGAGAGTTTTGTTCTGAAATGTTCCTTTTTTGTATGATTGATGGGTATGAATGACTACATGTGTTTTAATGTTCTTGCGGAAGCATTTGGCAGCTTTCGAACTCTGGTGCTGTTTTGTCTAGTAGACTATGGTTTTTCGGAACAGCATTACTAACTTGAAATTATCTCTGAAGTTGAACCAGTTAAACAAAGACGCTATTGGTTTAAGTCACAGTAATTAGGTATTTACAGTTCTCAAAAGTTCCTTGTTCTTGATTACTAACTTTCTTCCTTTTTTTTTTTTTAAACATGAAAATTGCTTTTGTTCAGTTTCTTTCTTCATATCCATCAGCTAATGTTTGCACTTAGGTCTATCTAGTCTTTTTTATCATCTGTGTTGTCAGTCAAGTCAACTGGGTCCATCCATAGATATATTGATGTAACTTATTTTATATCGCATTTGTGAAATATTTTGCAATAAATAGCTTTAATTTCTATTGCTTGAAGAACAATTACAGCACAAAATGAGGAAGGAAAGCTTGGTGAAACAAAATTCCAAATAGATACAAACCCCAAAGGTACGACCAGCAAAGTGTTTGAATGAGAACGTATCAACTGGCTCTTTTGGACAGCGAGTTGCTATGCACTAGGTTAAAAGTAACTTTAGTTTGTAATTTAGTGTAAGAGATTTTATATACTGAATTTAATGAGAAAAGAACTTTTTATGTTCCTTGATCACATTGAAAACTAACAGATGTACATTTTTATCTTAAGCATATTCAATGGAAGAAGAAAGAAAGAAAGAAAAAAACATAAAAAGAATCTGCTGCTGGAATTGATTTTTATTCAAAGAAATGGTTGATATGATTATCCCAGATTTGACTTGTCTAGGCACAGCTTTGTAAGTTGGGGTAAAAAGAAACCCTGCTTGGCTGTGAACCTATGCCATACTTTGCTAGCCACAAACATCCCAATCCCCCCTGCCCTCCTCCCTGCCCTCCATTGCCCCTTCTCTCCTTCCTCCCTCAACCCCTTCCATCCTCTCCCTCCCTCCCTCCCCTTCCAAGGAGTGCAAGGAAGTTCTGCCAATTGTCAAAGTCTGAATGTTGTATTGCTTTCAAACATTAACAGTCAAACCTTGTTTCTTCTGAACTCCAAAATCTTTTCATAACTTAAAAGAAGAGAAATTTACAGGCTTAGTCAGCCATCATTGGCAAGTTCTAAAATGAGACATTTTTGTGTATAGGAGGTAAGGGAGATTGAGATTGAACTAACAAGGTCTGAATGTTTTATTTGTCTGCCAGGGCCAGGGAGAAGCATCTTCATGTCAGACTGATGCACAAAGCTGGAGATAGTGGCGTGTGGCACTCTGCATTTCAGAAGTGCTTTGTTATTTTATTAAAGGCTGGCTGGCTCTGGCGTCCAAAGGCCTAGTTGAGAAGAAGTGCACAGTTCCTGAACATGGGAAAAGCAGAGAAAAATAGCAAAAGATGAGAGAATTCAGAGGTGAATTTTACCCAGGGTTTGTCACACCAGGAACTGAGTACTTATTTTTACTATGTCTTTCTCTTGGTCATCCATGGTGATCACATGCGATGAAGATGGGAACAAATTTTTAAGATAAAACTTTTGAATGTTGGTAATTGTGCATATGGGTGAGAAAGTTGCAACCCAATGGTTTTGGGGCACCTAGAATAGGATATCTGCTATAATTGGGACATCAAACAATTGGGTAATGTGAAAATTTTAAAGCAGCAATGTTAATAAAGTAGAAAAGTAAGTGGCTTTCTAGGGAAATTAACTAAATGTGTAGACGCTTCACTCACTCATGTGTTTGAGAAGTGCCTGCACTGTACCATATGGAGAGCTTTCCTTGCATATCAGGAGTAAAATTGTGTGTAATCAGGCTTTGATGTCACACTTCAGCATGAATCCTAGTAGAAGAGACGAGGTGCTACATGCGCCCTACCCTAGAATGTAACCAGACCCTTTTAGTCATTCGGACAGCCTGTTGTGTCTCACCTTAAAATGTATTTGGTTATGTACATAATGATCCTAGTTTTTTGTGTTTAGTTCCATGTAAAATTCACTCAAACAGGATACAGACTTAGATACATGTTTTGAATTTGCAAATGTCTTTGAGATTATAACATGGCCCTGATATTTTCTTCTCAATGTGTATTTTAAGATCCAATGTCTTGTGTAATGGATTTGTTGCTCTTCACTTCTGACCAGTTATGTACTAGAACATTTTAAAGAAAGAAAGAAAAAGAAAAAGACAGGGCTTCAATTTATAACCTATTTTTATCTCAAAGTATGTGAAGCAGCAGCCTTGGCATTATTTTTATTTTATCAAGAGACCAAGTGTTTATATTATGTTAGGCTTCAGTCGGAAGTGGCTTGGACTGAATGCTTGCTTGGAGTTGACTCTCTCTTGGCACTGAGGTCTGGGCTCAGAACACGTTTCTCTATAACATACGGGTCCGAGACGAGCTCACAGTTCCAAGAGCAATATTGTTATTATTATTATTCTTATTTCTTTTTTTGCCAAGGTTCTTAATTTTTTATTATTATTCAACTTTCATTGTTCTGCATTATAGATGTGGCCATGGGAAGGACATTCTCTTTCTGTTGTCTGTGGGAACATGGGATTTCAGGACCTCAGTCACACAGACAAAAGCAAGGGAATAGCTTTGCCCGATTCTCGTTATTATTCTTAACTGGCTATGGTGCCTACATTTAATTCATTAAAGGTCTGTCTTGCATTTTACCCATGTATTATTCAACCATCCATATGAGTAGTTATGTTGCAAAGTCTTTTATATTCATCTATTTGAATTTCATATTTCTCCCTTGCTAATTACATATTTTATTTTGTTGTGATGAGATCGCTGATTGTGATGGCATCAAGTTTTGGGTGCAGGTGGGGTCCCTTTTCCCTAGTTTGAAAAGCAGGGAAAAGGATGTCCAGCCGAGATTCAAACTTGAGAGGCCAATACCAATAGATCATATCGCATGCTTTCCCGCAACATCCCACACCCCCTTTTCAAGACAGTTTCCTGGTCAAGTCCTCAAGTGCGGCCGCAGGAGCGTGTAGTGGCCAGCTCTTATGTCATTGTTGCATTGGCGGCCCGAGTGTCGTTGTTGCGCTAGTTGGCCCATGTGTTGTTGCGTGGGGCTCCTGGTGGCGTTGCTGTGGCATAATTCTTGTAAAGCCGTCGTGGAGCTTGCCAGGCCACACACAGCCTTTGTAAGTGTCTGTATTTTTGGCTAACGATAGGAGTGTGAACTTGTTCATAATAAAATAATGGTTTTTTGGTACTGACTAGTTTCATTTCCCAATATTTTAATGAATAAATTAATACCAGTTGATTCACTTCTATCGTCTGTTTGCCTTCTGTAAGTAATAGTATAGTAGGAAGATCCCAGTATCTATTCAACTGACAAAGCCTCCAGGCTGAATGGTGGGGCAGGTAGATAGAATTTTTTATTAGGAAACATCCTAGAAATACCTACTGACAGCAGCAGCAGAAACAGAAATCAATCATTGTTTTTGAGAAGTCTTATTAATTACTTAATTTATCACTTGCTTCCCTTTTTTATCTCTAGGTTATGCATCAGCTCAGTTATTGTTAAATAAAAGGGAGAATGTGCATGTATTGCATTTGTATAAAAAGGCAAATAGCATTTTTATTTTTATAAGATTTATTTATTTATTAAAATACAGTAGAACCCCTTTTGGACAAAAAAAAACAACTTTTGAAACATAACAAAACAAATATTATGAATGTGAATTTATGGGAGAAACCTCATGACTGAATGTATAACACTTGTATTTAAAAAAAGGCTTGGTATTACACTTGTGGGCATTCTGAAAGTTGACATTCCCCTTATAGAATTTACCTTTACTGTTCACCAATTACAATTTGAATACTACTTTTGTTGAAGAAAAGCTGTAATTTGCAATTATATTACATTGTCAATAAAATGTATTAACAATAAAAATTCTACTGAATTTTTTTTTACTGATTTTTTTAATAAAGGAAAGAATATGGCTAAAGCAGAAGTGAGACATGGACATACAGTGTGAATGGCTGCTTATTACACTAAAATGAAGATGATAACAAGTGGGTCAATATAGGTTAAGAAGGCCATTTGGAGCACCAGTGAGAATCTCTGAGTGAGCGACTCCACCCTTTGGAGTCCTGCAGCCTGGAAAAGATTTACTAAGATCAGGAGACAGAGACTGAGACCCAAAGCTAGGGATCACCCTAGCCTTGGGCCTCAGCACTCAACTCCACTAATTCGGCAGTCTTTTCTTCTCCTTTCCATTTCTTTCCCTACTCCAAACCCTTCTATTATCCACTTCAATGTTGAAAGGATGAAAGGCTGACATTAACTCGTATATAACCTTTTCGCCACAATACATTACCATAATGCTGTGTGACCATTTATGTTTGTTTTGACCATTGACCATTCTGGAAATCCACAAACATTGCCTTATTGAGCCAAAAGACTTTCTTACCTGGGGGCTTTGCCCTCAAGCCTCACTCTATCACTATATTTGTATAGGCTGCTAGTGACCTTAGATGTTGATGCAGTAGAAAATTTTCAGTAAATAAATTAATACCCCTCCATCTCCATCTTGAACAAGGATTGGTCAGATTGTGGAGAGGACCTGCTCGCCTGCCTCGTGGAATATGATGCAGTATTAGTACAGTGCTACACGATTCACCGGCACCCATCTAATCCTTTGCTCATTGTTGTCGTAAGGGGGGTTAGGAGATGGAGACTGAGGCCCAATGTAGGGGATCACCCTTATCTTGGACCTCCCCCTTAACATCTATACTGTGGAGAGTCCCTCCCTGTCCGACCATATCAACCTTCATGTCAGTGTCGGAATTGTTGGTGTCAAGGCCACCCTGCTAAATATTGCTGTTCCACAGTCTGATTGCCTGTGTTTGCTCAACCTGTCATGAGCAGGCATTTTTCTTGGATTTTATTTAACCCCTTCCCAATGGGTCACTCCATGAGGTGTGAAAACAAACCTCTCGAAATGTGGCGTGCGGCTGTATGTCATAGCGGCGAGCCGGTGATTCTGCTTGATGTACCGAACTCCTGCGCTCAAAGTTGGTGTGCTGCCATTGATCGCCAGAGCATAGAGTTAAAAAAAAATTTTTTTTAACCCTTCAGCAAGGGGTTAAGAAAATCACTTATTTTTAGAATCAATGATGAATTTATAGTCACAGACATATATTGAGTGACTAAAGATGTCAATTAGAGCATCTATATCCTATTTAAACATCTTTTACATAAAGAAATTGCTCTAATATCTGGTAGAGCCTCCTTTTGCCTTTATCACTGCATTGATTCTCCTTTACACAGTTGCATACAACTTAGTTATATAGTCAATAGGACTATTACCAGGCCATTCCAAAACTGTCAGCTTATTTTGGCCGTCCAAGTCTTAACAATCTTTGCAATGTGGCAGGGAGCAGTGTCCTGCTGGAATACTGCTTGATCATCCTCAAAATAATGGATTAGAGATGGAACGGCACAATATAATTTTAAGATTTTAATGTGATATTCTCCATTAACTCTTCCACTGATTTTGTACAACTGGCCAACACCTTTGCTAGTAATGCAGCCCCAGACCATGATACACCACTACCACCATGCTTAACCCAATTGCCCCGGATTTATGTTCTTTCCCCTGTAGTTTGTTGTGAATGTTGTTACATAGAGATGGCCCAACATGTGCTTGGTCAGTAAGGAGTCTATCAATAGCCCTAGTGACCAATCCTGCTTTCCCCATTCCTTG